TATATAATTTATATATAAATCTTGTATAACCTGCATCACATAGCTCTCCAGATGACTGGTGAATCATCTATTAAATTTATACATCACTGATTATACCATTTATGCAAATCTCAATCACAATATCTAATCCTTGTACTACAAATTTCTTGATATCATATCAAAATACACTGTAACAGAAGCTAGATTTCTAGAAACTTCATCTTGAAGTTGCAACCCATATAAAAACAATTTCCAATATACATCCAATTGCAATACCCAATATTACTAACAATTTATATACTAATAATGCAATATATTTTTTAATTAGTATATACACTAACACAAAATTTTTTTTTGCAACAAATGCTCTATCAAATAACCAAATTCAGCACTCTATAACATTCTAACATCCAATCTTTCAAACCTATGCATTTTCAAATAACTCCTGAAGACAATGCTCTCTAGATATTCATAATCACACCTAGCTAACTGATTCAAATACAAGCATTTAAAGAATTCAATCTTCCTAATACTACTTATGATTTGATTTGATTAGTTTGATGATCACGTATTCGTGAAATGATCCAGAATTGGCACGTGTCATTCGTGAATCGTGAAATGAAGTAGCTCGTTTTAGAATCGGTATCCATAACTATGAGAAAATAAATTACTGAATCAGGTATCGCACATTAAAAGTTAGACTAACAATCTTATGTGACACAAAATACAGGAGCAAGTGTTACTTCAGCGAAGATGCAACATGCGAAGTTTCAATATGCATTCACACCTTTGCTTCGCCATGTGCATATACCCAATAAGACGCAAGATTTTGCGGACGTATATCATTTAATTTGCCGTATAACCATACACTTCGTGAAATTTTCAATATTACTCCATTCCTGGTAAGATTGGAAAAATCTTATTTGTGAAGACAGCAGTTTAAAATTCTTTTTTAAATTTTTTATAACAAAATTTTACAATTCTTTTTTTATTAAAGCATTATACGATTTTTATTAAACAATTTTTTATATTACAAGTATTATACGTTACAATCTTTTTATTACAATTATTATACATTGCAGTTTTTTTTTTTTTTTATTAACATTAATACCTAACGTTAATATTAATGTTCTTACAAATGTTAATACCAACGGTCATATTAATGTTAATACCAACATTTATACAAACGTTAATACTAACTTTAATATTACCAACATTCATACAAACATTAATATTACCAATGTTCATACAAACGTTAATACTAACGTTAGTACAAACTTTCATACAAACGTTCATTCATACCAACGTTAATATCAACATTAATACCAACATTCATACCAACTAGAGATTGGAACTGCCTAAAATTTTTCTTAATCGTTTAATCGTTTAACCGTTTAATTAAAATAATTCCAGCTCACGACCAACATAATTTCGCAAGGTACTATGGAGCAATTTTTAAATGGTTCTAATCCCTAATACCAGAGCATCGCACTGTGCGATATAATAGACAACTCCATTTGAATAAATAATTTGAATAAATGACAATCTTGTATTCTGTAAACCTTGTAATTCTGTTATTTTTATGTTAAACTCAAATTGAAATTTAAGAAGCGATTATGTATATGATTTTGGTGGCGATACTAGGTGACCTAGCATTCAGATAACTCATAATAATTTATTAAAGGGTGTATTTGACAAAATCTTGAGTGAATGGGAAAGATGCATGAGTGCACACAACTTTGATTTATCATATTTAATATCAATTGACGGTAGATTAATTATGAGAAATAAGTTTGACGAATGGGTTAACTGTTGTTCAACTTGTGATAATGGTTCATTACAGATTATAAGCTGGAAAGAATTGTATCCGTTATATGAAATATTCGACTCACCTCTTCTCCAAAAAATCGAATCAATTATTGGAATTAACGGCCAATCAAATCTCAGAGCACTCGCAACAGGAACTATTCCAGTTAAGAATTCGCCTTTTTGCTATCGCGTAAATTTTCCCGTTCGCCTCAAATCAAATGAATATCAAATTTTCGGAAAATTTATGATGAAAGACGGAAAACCATTTATTACAAAAGACAGAAAACCAATTGAAGTGATTTTAAAATTTAAATCTATGGATATATGTGGATTTTTAGTGTTTATAGAGAATTTGGATGAAAATGTGAGTTTTTATTGAATTCATTTTAATTATAATATTAGATATGACATTTACTAATTATCTGGTTTTAGCGAATTCTTGTCTGACATGCAAATAGCTTGGATATTGATTGGAATACCTGCTAAAGTAGGATATTTCAGTACAAATACACAAAATATTAACATATTGTGTTCGGGAAATACTTCATTTTTGCCAGAATTGCAAGATAATGATAGTGGAATTGCTCAAAACTCAAAATTTATTGCCTCTATTATACTGGATGTTCCAAAAGATCTACCAAAGGATTCAATTTCGATCACTTCATTTAAGTATCCTCCTTTAAATTATGAACCGAATTTCACAGCCAATATTCAAAGTTCTCAGAATGATAAAATTAAAATTAATATATACGATAATATAAGTGATGAGGATAATGAAGGCTACGAATCGTCTAATAGCGATTATAAGAGTGCTATTGGTTTTGATAGGGAAGTCGAAAATTCACATAATAGTGAAGTTCCTGAAGGCAATTTGATTCAGAAATTGAAATATTCAATCGAGTGGTGCGTTCTTAGTAGAGGTGATTCATCTGAAACGTTGGTTTACTTGGATGCTATAGGCAATAAAGTCAATTTTCATGGCGATAAAGTAATATTTAAAGAAGATCTGATGAAACCAAGAAAAAGGAAAAAAATAGGTGATAAAATTGATTATGAAATAAACCTCGATAACAAAATCGATTATGTTATTTATTTTCATGGCGAAATGTTTAAAGATGCAATAAAATCTAATGAAATCAAAAAAAAACGAAAGATCGACGATAATAATGTACGTTTATGTGATGTTGCTGATGGTTTTCAAGTAGTTGGAGAGGCAGCTCAACCATTTCTTTAATTTTTTTCAATCTGCTACAACTATTTTAGAATCAATAATGAAAGCTTATAAAAATAGAAAATGTAATCAAAACATCTGTTTAGCTTTAATTGATCGTGTTGAAATCGCTCAGCAAGCAGTTAAATCTTTAGAAAGACAACAAATGGAAAATGA